CAATAAATAGAAAGAAAGAAAAATAGAAAGAAAAGAAAATAGAAAGAAGAAAAAATAGAAAGAAGAGAAAATAGAAAGTACAAAAATAGAAAGAAAGAAATAGAAAGAAAAAACTTTCTAAATCAATCCTTCCACAACCCTAGGAATATATACAATTCTATTTTCAGATCTGAACCAATAACCCCACGTTTTCCAACAGTTTTCAAGACAGCATCCATCAAAATTTAGTTTTATTCTAGCCATTTCTGGTGTATGTATGAGCATTGGTCTTGGTCTTATTTTAAATTGGATTATATTTTGGGTTCATATGTTGCAATTTATGGTTGAGACTCGTGTTTTTGGAACACAGGTCGATGAGCTGCTTAAACAGAGAGAGAGCATCCACTCCTCATTTACTATGGATAGGCCACCCAATAATGCTAGTGGGAGTGGTACTAGTACGAGTGGAAAAGTCCCTGGTGAGGATTCAAAGGCTGACAGTCTGAGCGATGATGGAAGTTCAGATGGGAAGGATAGAGTGGCCAAGAAGAAATGGTTTAACCTTAATCTGAAAGGATCTGATAAAAAGTCTGGCTGAGAGCGGTCGTCAATTAAATTTGGCAGCATTGCTTGCTATGGAACCCCAGGCTGGAGAGGTTTAAAATTCCAAATCCAAACCCACATTCTTGTAGAGCAGTCGCATGCTTGCATCCAGCTAAGGTTAACCCTTTACTTTCTCTATTCGATTTTTTCCTGCTTAACTTCTTCATTTTTATTCTTTTTGTTTGCTTTCACCAAAAGTTGTTAATTAACAGTGCTACCAGATATTTCATTTATTTTTCATTTTACTGGGCAATAAGGGACATTTCAATGTGAAGGTATCTGTCATCTGTATATTTTATATTCACTGTATTGGGTTCTTCAGCTCCCAAATTGTTACTGTAGCTATTTGAATATATAAAGTTGTGAAATTGTAATAAAAGATTGATCCTAGGTTCTTGCTATAGAGATGTTAGTTTCAACCTGCAGATACGAGTTGAAGCATATCACATTTATGGTGCAGTTACTAGTATGTAACATGTGTATCAAAATATGGCGACAATGGGCGAAAATATTCTGAATACACCCACAGGCCACAGAGGCGCCGTTAATGACTTAAAATAAACCTTTCTATCAATATATATATATATATATATATATCTATATATATATATATAATTTAGCAGTAGCCATAGCTCCTACCACACGGTCCGCACCCAAATATGAATAATTAAGTACGAGCTTTGATCTTGTAATCAATGTTGCAACTTTCATGAACACCGCGCTCTAGCTGGTTCAAAAGCATTGCCCTCTCGTAGACCAAAAAATGGACCCAGAAAAAGAGGAAATCTCGTAACGTGAGATCCCATGCTTAGCCGTAAGATCCAAGTATCTAACTTGAGTTGCAGATCTACATTTGAGGTCGAGGCAGCATAGATTCTATATCCATCCCTCGTGACCCTAGCTAGTATCGATGATAATCGTCATAGGTTTTGGAACTAGTTGAGTCAAAAAGGTAGATGTGCAAGTCTGAATCAGGTAGATTTTCTAACGTCTCTTGGTCTCGACAATGGATGTACATGTGTTAAAGATGTACCATACTTGTCATCTTTAATTTGGTTTCATTTGGAGTGATTGTCCATGTTCGGCGTCCTTACCTTTCAAAAATATATTAATCTCCAATTCTCCATGGAACATTATGGAGTGGATGCATCAAATTTTAATATAGTATAGTGTTGAATATACAGGATCTATGATCATGAGAGTTTGGCCAAGGTTTTAGTGTCGACTGTCAATAATCTCCATGGAATATTATGGCGTGGATGCATCAAATTTTAATATAGTGTTAAATATACATGATCTATGATCTATGATCATGAGAGTTTGGCAAAAGTTTTAGTGTCGGCTGTCAATAAAATGTAACCCTCCTCGTTTATCTGGGTTTGGAACAACCCTTGTTTATCCGGGCTTGGTACACGTAAGAAAAGCTTACACCGGTCATATGGAAACCTTCTGTAATTTATGATTGGGTACAGAATGCTAGGGGCTGATGCTCATGCAATTTATTTGTAAATTGTAATGGTAAATTTATAATGCGGTTAACGAATTACTTAACTTTGCCGTGCGTTTACAGTCATATACTCTTAGAGATGCATTCACGCACTAGACACTCCCATCTCTGGGACTATTCGAAAGGTGGGTTTTGTTCCCAGAACATACAACAGAGTGCAAGTTGTGAGGACTCCGGCCTACAACTACAGGTTCTGTGGCCTCAGACCCAAGAAGAACCCTGTATACAGAAATACATATGGTGGACTGACAGCATTAATGCATTATTGCAGAGAGGTTTATTATGGGATTGTTAAACTTAAGTTAAGCTTAATAAACTTGATTAATATTTATTTGCTCCACAGACTCTTTACATGTGGCCCATTGATTGCAAACCCAGAATCTTCAGGTTGAAGGAATATGTACCATTTGTCTCATTTGGAGGTACTTCCATTATTATGGTAGGACCAACCTATCTAACATCTGACCTCACCTCATTACTAGTAATACTCTTTAATATATTATTGGTGAAGCTCTCCGAGAAACCTGTAAATTAGGCTTCTTCTCAGTTAGGATGCCGTCCTTATAACATGTACAAACAGTAGAGGTGGACCTACCATTTTATGGCTTCTTCCGAGGAGCTCTACAATTCTACAGCTACTCTAGAACCATTCATTTTCTAAACGGATTTGAAAATTTGAAAACCCTCCTCCAACTGCTCCCCTCCCCTCCACTCCTCCCTCATCCTCTTTAATACATGTTGTACAGTAGAAGGATGTTACATTACAGACTACAGAGAGCCTTTGAAAACAGTGGAGGGATGTTACATTACAGGATGTGAACTCGACTCATCAAAGGGTTCCAATAGTGGTACTATTCAAAAACCAAAAAGACCAAAGGGGGTTGTTTTCAATTTCTCATCTACCATAAAAAACTCAGTTGCAAGGTTCATCAATATCACTCAACTTGTGATATTGATTTGTTGATTTTGGGAGGTCGAATTCCTAAATCGCAATGCGGGTTTGCCAGCTTTTGAAATCAGTGTCTATCGTTCAATTGTTTCTGTGGGGTTGACTGGTTGTTGATTGAGAATGGGTCCAGGTGAATCAATCTGCAGTTCTTTGGTGTTGAATTTGAGTCTATGATGAGATTCCACATGGAACCTCTCAGAGGGATTCACTGCTTGAATATGGGGTCCTCAACAAAAATCCACACATCTGTTCTCCTTCATGTGGTATACCATATTTTGGTAGATCCAAGCAGCACTCGAGATTGCCCATATTGACACCTAGTCAACATTTAATTTTAAGTAACAACAGGATTAACACTTAATTGTCCAACCAATAATGTACATATAAAAATTATAGAATATGGCATGTTGCTCAAAAATAATAATAAAATAAATAACAATAATCTCTCTTCCAACTGTGGGGTTTCCAAAGTGATCAGAAAATAACATCTTAGGTTATCTGTTTGCAGACTATTTCATCTGTAAAGCAGACCTATTTTCTAGAATTTTTAATCCTAGAAGTTTCGTCCTTGAGTAGCAAATTATTGTTGCTTCCTTTGCCACTTAAGCTCCAAAGCTCTATAGATGACATAATATACACAAATTACATAGTTAAAGCTACAATTCTTTTTGTCAAAGAGTTTGTCTTGACCTTGGTTTTGTTGAAAGCCCTCTTTATTTTATACTAGAGCATTGCATCTAAGTAGATTCTTGGGAGACAGATATCTCTAAAATTCAAAGAAAAAGTTTATCTAGGGGCTCATTGCTAAAACAAACACGTCATGTAGAGAAAATTAATGCTTAACCCCTTTTTCTTAAGCTAAGCCCACATGCAAATAAATATCAACTTAATCATATTAAATTACACTACTGTCATGTGCTCTGGTCTCCCAACACACATGTGTCTGAGTTACATGCCATGTTGGGGTATGTATGTGTAGCCGTCTAAATGTCTCAGTTTGAACTTTGAATGCATTCCACACTTTGATCGATTTTGTCCCATTAATTGACCGAATCCTTTAATATCTCCCTCCATCAACTTAATTCACGGGCCTGGTTTAGGGTTTTATTTATTTACTTATTTTCGTTTAAAACAAAAACGCCCAGATGGAATTTAATTGAAAGCTTATAAAATCTAGACATTCTAGACTGTAATCTAGGCTTAGTTCCATCTGAATTATTTTATTAAGTATAAAATACTAAGTCTATGGAACCCACTTCACATGACTTAAAGCTAACTCCACCCAACCTCCACCAATTATTTTAATTAAAGTAGGTAGTGCCACTTGGATACATAGAGGGGTTCATCTAGTCACACCCACATTACTTGAATTGCTCAACATGCTTTCAACATATCCATAAAAGGGATATCAACCCAAAATCCAATCATAATTTTTTTTTGGGGGGGTTAAATTATCCCTTTGGGTCCTTCCAAACTAATAGTTGCAAAAAGAAACAAAATGGGTTACTAAGTTAATGGGTTTGTATTATAGTAGGAACATGTCTGAAATAACCTGGCGTTTAAATGTATAAAATATTGACCCCATTACATAACTTTTATTTATAAACAAAGATGGTAGGCCCTTTCTGTGATTCGGAAGATCTTAAATGGTAGCATCAACATCATTTCAATCAAATATAAATTAAGCATGATTAAGGCCCCTTAAAGCATTTCTTTAGTGTTTGTTGGAAGGTGGAAACCATTACAACAAGAAAAGAAAAGCTCATGGTTAAGACTACTTAACAAGACACAGTTGTTTATGAATTTTTAAGCCAGAACTCAGAAGAGTGATTAGATAATTCCATGTCGACCCTACATAAATTCTCAATGTGGAGAGAGAAAGAGAGAGAGAGGTATGGCACTAGTTTTGCCTACCCACTGAAATTTGTTGGAACAGGGAGAGACCAAGCAGATGCAGCTTCACATGTGTTCCCCTGCAACAAGGTAGAAGCCATGTGCCTCCTTTGCCCTAACAATATATAGCCCCAGGACCATTATCCTAACCTCCCGATCTTCTAACTTAAACAAGTTTCATCATATGTGTCCACACATTTGCCCAAGTTCTGGGTCCTACCACATCTTTACTTCGATGATGTAAGGACCCTTGATGGAAAAAGAAACTCCAACACAAAGCAAACAATAAAAAATTTGTACCAGTTTACAAGCCACTAGTCCCACCAACCCTATGTGAACTCTCTAACCTTAAAGTATGACTGGCTATGCACAAGCATTGAAGGTCACTTCAACACTTTCTTTTGACAGACATCTAACTCCTTGGCCCCATTGACGATAGCAACCCAACAAAATTTTCTAACCCAACTATAAGAAACCCTCAAACAAGGAAAGAAATGATAATAAGAACAAGTACCATCTTCATGGTTGTCAAAAACATGATGTAGAATTGTAGATATAGACATTTTAAGGAGGCTTGGTCCAATTCACGTTACTCGGACCATCTGGTTCTATCATAGTTTCCGGTTCCGGTCGGTTCACACAAAATTCATTCATGGTTCAAAGTATTAATACATGAGATATGTAAATACTCTTTTTTTTTTTTAATGTTTTCAGTTCAATATTTCAAAATTAAATGTTTTAGGAAGGGTTCTAATTAATGTTTAAACCAATAAAAACCCTCTAAATCTTTGTATTTGAGATATTTTTTACCTTAATAATTAATACATATTATATGATACGGTGTGATACATATCGATACTGATGGTGAGGATTCATAGGTTGGCCTGTGAATCCAATCCAAGTACAATAGGGTGGATGTACAAATTTGGGAAGTGAAATTAACTTACTGAATTCATCAATTAGGTTACTCATAAATTCATGTGCTGGGGCCTTACTTCTTACTCACTTCATGGAAAAAAGCATGTGAAGGTGTTAAATCATAGGGTTTAAAGCTGTCGGATGTCATGGACCATAGATATGACTCCTTAACTCATCCTAAGTTGGCTCCATGTGGTGGGCCACTTCTAAGTTGGATGACCACGGGCCAAACATAATTTTGGTCCCACTCGGTGGTCCATCAGATTATTTGGTCTCCTCTCAACTCAAGACATAATGAATTGATCTATTCATTTTGAAAACCTTGACAAATTGATCCTCAAATAATCAACCACTGAAATTTACTTGTAGAAAAATTGTTTAAAAAAAATAACAAGTTGGTTTAATTGTTTGGTATATTCAAATTTGTGAATTAATCAATTAATGCATAGGGTACCAAGAATCCACCGAGGTAAAGCCAGCCGGCTATCTGGTTCAATTAATTCAAGTGGTTCAAGTTTTTTGTTTCACAAGACGATGGTGATTTAGGGTTGGGCACTTGGGTTCAGGAATCAGGATGGCCAAACCCGACCCATAAACCATCAATAAAAAAATAGTCTGAACTCTGAAGATTAAGTTTTTACGTGTATTTGGCATCAATCCCCATCAGTGAAGACTGAAGAATGAAACATCATTAATTGTATTAGGAGTGATGGTAAAGGTTGTTGGGGCCTGGGGGGAGAGAGAAGGGGGAAGATGTCAGAATCAACCACTGGATGGGTCTCAGTTGAATGTATACTCCACATGATTGGTTCTTCTTCTTCTTCTTCTTCTTATACTCACTCTTACACAGTTCAGACTTGAGATAGGAAAAAAACAATACCAAACATTCCTTCCTAGAATCCTCTTTTTTCATCAGATGTGGCCACCCTGTTGGTTTTGATAAAAGCTTGGTTCTGGAACTCACCCACTCAGAATCAACTGGCCCACGACCCACACCTTACCATCAAGTGGGTCTCATCTCCATCCAGATTAACTGGGCCGAAAATGAGCTCCACAGATGATTGACTCGAAACAGTGTCTATATTATTGTACTAGTTGAATGGCACGTGCATTTGCACGTATAAGAGGGAGAGAGAGAGAAAAGATAAGGGACAATAAATAAACCAAAGTTTTGGACGGTGGTTTGACAACAAGGGTGAGAATAGAATAGGCAATTATATGAATAACAAGTATTATTATCAAAAAAATTATATGAATAATAAGAGATTAAATAAGGGTATTTTGGGTATATAAAAGATAAAAATAGGAAATTCTATAAAAAAATGAGGGTCTTTTTGGGTATATACAAGATCAAGTAAGAACGGCTCTTTTTGTATAGGCAGATAGATATACACGTGGACGGTGAAGAAAGTTCCATCACTTCAAGCATGGAAAAAGCAAATGTATCCAGTACTAGTCATTCTGGCGTAGGCACTCTTTTCTGATGGGGGACCCGCCCATCCTATGGTATGTCCGGATGATTTGAATACGCAACGTGGCAACTAGGGGGACCCACATACCAACTATGGGTAGTCGTGTCAGATTAATTCTGCAATCTAACGGTCATAAAAAAAGAAAGATTTCCTCTTATGTGGGAAATTTTGACTGGATGAGGGTGTTTTAATAGTATTTTTGTATTTGGGGGAGGGGGAGGGGTGCGGCTGTGGAGAAGAGAACACTCATGGGAAAGCGGAGACATGTGGGACAGGGTTGGAGTTGCGGTGAAGACTTTGGGGAAGAGATTTCAAATGATATTACTATGCTTTTTAAGTGGGTTTATTAGAAGTGGGACCCCCTCCCCCTCTCTTTCTCTCTTACTGATAAAGACTGGAGACTCATTTCGTCGTAGTTAGTAAGATTCGATGAGATCTTCCCCGAGAAAAAAATAATCCATAAAACCTCAACGTCAATCACGCAAACATACTAAACCTTGGTCCTCATCACTACGTCACCCGTGGGCCCGCGTAACACCTGAACATTCAAAAAACAAAGCTTTCCATATTCGGTTTTTTCTTCACGCAAGTATCCTTCGGTTGCTTAACGTTAAACGGGCATATCTAAAGATTAGATTTCGTGCTGTTGCCACGTGGGTGGATGTAGCTGACAGACGGTGTTAGATATCAATCCCACCGAAGCTGGGATACTGTTGCTACGTAGGTAATCATTAGGAGGTTTTCTGGTCATGTTAGGGTTTGACAGAGCGGTTTTCTTGCTTTTTAGAGTCTTTCTTTCTTTTTTGCTTGCATGGACGCTTTGACTTTGGAAACTTGAAACTGAGAGGGAGGGGGGTGTTTGGTGTCGGCTCCTGAGATCAAGCCAGAAGAAGAGAGAGAAAGAAGAGGAAGGGCAAAGAGGGAAACAATAATAAAATGGTATTTGTTTCTGGAGAGAGAGAGTAGGAATCTGAGCTGGCCATTTTCTCTAACTGTTGTTGCAGTAGTAGACAGCCAACAGAAACAGAAACATGGGCTTTCTAGGAGCCCCAATGGTGTTGCGGTCTGAGAATGGGTAGGGAAAGTACAAGATTACCCATATGGGTGGGT